GATAGAAAAGAATGGCCCAACTTTATTTCTGATATTGTTTTCAGCTTCTGAGGAGAAATCCAGAGCGTCGCCTTGGTGCTGGTGAAAAAGATGCTGAAGATGTCAAAAAGCATCACTTTTTTCGGGTGAGTGCCATTTCTCAAGCATGGTTACAATATAACAATAGCCAGAAGCACAACACTTAACTAGTGCTCTTTTTACAGTTAATTGACTGGAATGCGTTGCTGGCCAAGAAAGTGAAGCCTCCTTTTGTCCCAGTCATAAGAGGAAGAGAAGATGTCAGCAATTTTGATGATGAATTTACCTCAGAAGCGCCTATTCTCACTCCACCTCGGGAGCCTCGGATACTTTTGGAAGATCAGCAGGAAATGTTCAGGGACTTCGACTACATTGCTGATTGGTGTTAATCATTTAGTCACTGTGAAAATTCCAGCTGATGTGCTCCCCAGGACAACTTTCTCCCATCGCCCTAAGAAGACCATTCTTTGAATCTCTCTCTCCTGCCTGTAGCTTCTGATTTTTAAATCATATGAAGATTTTAAACAGTACTGTTTTTAATACAGAGGAGGCGTGGCCTCTCTTTTGTATATCTTTTTTGTTTCTTTCTAACCTTGAGCACTGGAAAGCAATTTTATGCAGCTCTTGAAGCTGATTCAGTGGGTGCGGGCTGTTTTCCACATTCACGTGGGCACCCTTGTACTGTATCTTTATTCTTCCAGAGAAGAAAGCATGACAAAACACCTGCCTTACAGAGTGGGACCACAAACGGATACTAAGCTACCGTAGATCAATCACCTGCCCGAGTTTTAAAGAAAGAAAACAAAAACTGTTGGTCCTTTTCAGGAAAACGATCGTCCCCCAAGATGGTAGAACTCAAGACTGTCAAGCACACTAGTGACTTGATTTCTCAAAATAATGTGTATTACAAAGTAATGCCTTGTTTAACAAACTCTATGGTATTTATTAGTGAGGAGATGCTTCAAAACCTTACCTATGTGAAAGCAGCATCAGTGCTTCCATTTGCAGAAAAAAAAAATGACTGGTCCTAAAGGTTTACCAAAGTCACTTGCTAAACAAATGTGTTTGCCTTTAAATTTTGTTAAACACTGTTCAGAAATAACCAGCAAATATGAAGAATGTAATGAATGTCTTTCTAGTCTTAACCAGGAATACTCCTAAATGTATGAATTTCCCTGAAATACACAATCACTGTTCTATACTTTTAAAGTTGTGTATTTTCCACATTAACTTCAAACATATTTTAGCAAATCATTATATCTAGTTATCTCATTCATCATACATTTATTTGCTGTTCAAAATGTTCAAAACCATTCATGTTTAAAGAATGTGGAACTATATTGTATACATCCAGTATACATGTATATTTGGAAACTATAGTTTTGTTTGAATCATATAAACTGTACACTTTTAGTTTTGTCCAGTGGCTGTTTGAATGTATTACTGAAATCCAGATTTAACAGTGAAAACCCACTTGTATACATTTTTATGGCCACTGAATTCAGTAATCATCATCGGAAATTACTGAGACTAAGGGTAAAAGCAATATGTTTTAAGAGAATGTATAAATATTTTTGATAAAACTTGTATATTTTAAGTCTCTTAACACTATGCTGTACCTCAAAAGTTAAAATATCTTAGACCAGATGCTGTGTATATGCTTTACAGACTTTAATGTAGTTTTTGTTAGACATTCTGAAAGAACAAAATCATGTTTAAATCTGTGGAAAGCAACATTCCACTTTGTCAGCATATGTTTGTGATAAACTTTGTTTCCTAATACCAGAAGATCAAGACTAAGTATGAAGTTTTTAATTAGTAGATTTACTACTCAATCTGGAATGTGGTTCAGAATCAATAAGTCACATACAGGGCTGAATTTGTAAGAAAGTAGAGAAATACCAATAAGGGGCTTGTGTGGGGGTGCTGGAGGGTATTTTTTTATAATCTTCTCCATTACCCCACTCAAACTATTTTGTTTCAGTATGATAGCTGGGGACTCTATTCATATTTTGTAGCCTTACAAGAATATAAGGAATAAGAAGGTTGCCGGAATACGTGTAAATTCCTTCATAAGGAAGATGGATAATGCTTTTTATAAAAATTATGAATATTACTAAGTTGCAGTTTTTTTAAAAAAATTGCACTACCTATCATTTTTCAGTATGCTAATTTGGGTTTTTTTTATTTTAAATGGCTACATCTTAATTAAGCAAAACACTACATATCTGAGGTACAATCTGCCAACTCCTTTTCTTCCTTATTATTTCTGTAAACCGTTGTGTCCCTGGTAGGTGCTTCAAATTTAAAATCCTATGGAAGTAACTTTTTGTAAGTATAAGTTGTACAGAAATGTTTGTAATCTTGAATTTCTGAAAAATCACATTAGAGGCAGGGTATTTTCACAATTAAGCTGAATGAAAGCACTAATTTTTATCTAGTTTTGAAAAATAGGCAAATTAAGTTTTTAAACTCTAGATTGTAAATATATTTTGCTATACATACGTGGCTGCTGAAGCACTTTGTAAAAAAAATTAGGGTATTTTAGAATGGTACACTATGCATTTAAATGAAATGTGCCTTTAACAGTATAATAGTACAAACTATCTGCAATTAACTCTCAAAATTTAAATAGTGAAATTTGTATAGGAAAAAAATTACTGATTTGAATTATAATCTTGTGTTTGATCTTTAGATAAAATGATGACTTTGGAACTTTGTGTGAATTACTTTTTCTTTCTACTTTGTTTTTTAAACATTTAAGAAACCTCCCTTAGGTGCCGTCTTCTAATCAAAACAGTTTATAGAGCTGCTTAGGAAATTCCTTAATGGTTCACTTGGGAAATTGATTCTTTGTTTGAAATTTCTGTGCCGTATTCAGTTGGAAGCTGAACTAATAATTTTCAGCATATGATTTCAACAGGAATGAGTATCTCTTTCTCACACAGGCTGAATTTAAACTTCACACTAAGGCCTGCTTTATACTAATTACAGTAGCCCAAGACGCCACCGTTATGACAAGAGTCACATAATCCAGTAAGCCCAAACTGCATTTATGTATAGCATGTTTACATTATATGTTACAATTCATGGGATGGGAAGGAGGTATTAAGGTTTGCGCTGAAAGCTTGGGAAGACTTGGGTTGTTACAAGGGGTTGCTGAAGATTGGCCCTAAAATAATTCTCAGCTTTTATCTCGATCCATTATTTGACAAAGAGTTTTTAAAACTGCTCCTTTCTCATGTACAAAATGAGATGGTTCTTTCCTGATGCATTGTCTCCTCATTAGTGTACCCAAGAGAGACACAACTGAAAATGATTCTGTGAAATACACTTAGAGCTCTTTCAAACTATTCACTGAGAGAAGCCCTTATTTACCAGTTAACTCAGATCAGCATAGATCTGTTAAGAAAACGAATTGCCAAGCAAATCTTGTAACTTTTTAAATTCAGTAATAGATAATGAGAAAGCTATATTCAAAATGTATCTTGTTTCTGGACAAAATACCCCATTAGATTCTGATCAGAAAGCTATTTTTTAGTTAAGATATGACAATTATATAGGTACAAAGCTGGCCTGACAATGATAATCAGAATGATTTCTCATCACATTAGAGAGATTAATCAAATGGATACCATAAAAGTTAATCTTGAACCCTTCTCACTTTATTTTCTCATTAATTTATTGAGAGGAATGGAATCCTTCCCAAAGTTGTATGATGCACAATTATATAGTATAGTTAAAAAACAAAATAATCTAGATGAATGGACTTAAAAATGAAATTGAACACATGCAGTTTGTCACTTAGGAAACAAAAATCAAATGTAGAGTCATAAAATGAGAATACCTGATTTGGTAATCATACTTAAAATCCTGGAACAATAAAAAGTAGAAGTAAATTCTGCAGTGATCAGACTCATGTCCAGTTCTGGATGATGCACTTCAATTGAGACACTAGAACATATTCAGCTAAGACCAGGATGATTAACTGACTAGAAACCTGGTCCTATGAAGGAAATTGGATAATAGGATAATAAGTGATAATACAATAGCAATCTTCAAATACCTGAAAGCATATCAGAGAAGTTTGTCAAGGTCTGTATTCATTCCAGGTAACAGGACACAGAAGTGAATTTAAATAATAATAAAGCAGATCCTGATTGGATGTTAGGAAAAAAATAAGAGCCACCAAACAGTGGACTATCCTTTACTAATTATGTTCCAGCAGAAGTTAAAAGAGATTTAATTTTTATTTCTCTACTGAGTAGAGGGTGGCCCAAATAATCCCACCATTAAAACATCTATGGTTTACATGATAGTAAGTATATTTTTACGCTGCTAAGTAATTAATATTTAAGTCATCTCAAGATTCTAAAATGGCCAGGTTTTTTTGTTTTTTACTTTTTGGTTCCTTCTTACCTTTTGTCTAAAGTTAATCTAATTTCCTATAGGTTTGGATCCATTACTACTTAGACATGATTTTTAATCATTGTGGTTTAAAACAAGTGTTAGATAAAATTATTTTACTGGACTTACATACAAAAAGTCTGTGCTGATTAACTTTTGACAGTGATAGAACTGCCCTCAGTGAATTACATTCAAGATGGTTTATTGTAGTGAGTTGGATTTCTGTGCCCTTATTCTACAGCAGGGGTCTGCAACCTTGACAACTTTAAGACTTGTGGACATCAGCTCCCAGAATTCCTCAGCCAGCTATAGCTATAGCTGGCTGAGGAATTCTGGGAGCTGTCGTCCACAAGTCTTAAAGTTGTCAAGGTTGCAGACCCCTGCTCTACAGTATTGCAGGCAAAAATTGACAAAGCCATTTGATGGCATTCAGATGCTAACACAAAGTAAGAGACAGCCTGCTAAGACAATACCATCTTTTGGTAACATTCCTTAACAAAATAATCCCGAATCGTAGACCCCTTAGATTGTATGACTGCAAACCACTTTCATGAACAAAGAAATTAACAGAAAAATATGAGCCTCCAGGATTAATTTTATTTTTAATATACATTGTAAAGCTTTGTACTGTGCAGACTTAAAATTAATTTTTAAAAAATTATCATGAGCTCTGCCGTGTTGTTATAGCAGTTGAAGCGGCAAGTGGACATCCCCACTCAAAAAAAAAGGACTAAACCTGATTTTGTAAAGATTCGATTTCTAATTCACCTAAAAGCTGCATAACGCTTAAATCAAAGTATACATTTTCCCAGTTCCATCTCAATGGCCTGGAGGGGCTATGGAACTCCCTACACACACACCACACACAACTGCTGTTTTCTTCTCAGCTGTGTTTCAGTAGTTAAACTGACCAGCTCTGCTAAAGAAAATAATGGCAGCAGGGAGCTGCTGGAATATCAAGTTGGAGACAAACATTTGAACATGTAGGGTGAAGAACAGCTTCCTTCCTGTTCAACCATGGTTCAAAGCATACTCAACTACTTTCAATGCCTTAGTTAATAGTCCACTTGTTTTTAACTAGACTATCATCATCACTGACTGAAAAATTGGTCCTGGCTGTGTGAAAAGAGAAACGGTTGATTGTCCCATTTCTATTCAAAATTCAGCAACAGAAAAATCTCCCTCTTCTGACAGAGACCAGGAACGTAATATGAATTCTTTTTTCAAGTAGCCACACAAGGTAATGAAGAGACATGCTCTTGATTTATGGGATTTTAAATAGAATGAATCAGAGTGTAAACTTGACATTGTTAAATCTTTTCCTAAGGTGAATAGAAAATTTTCTGCAAGTATTTTTATTATCGTACGAACTATATTTTCTCTGAATTAAAACTTCCCATTATAATTAACTAAGAGTTATCAAGAAACAATGTAAAATCCATGTACGGCATCTAATTAGGAAAACTGAACAAATGTTAAAGATTACATTTTCCACTTGGATATTTATTTAGAACAAAGTTACATACAGTAAAACTTGTAGGTCAGTACTGTTTTTGGAAAACAGTTTATTCTGATTTGAAATATTTTTCAAAATACGTTTTACCAGATCTCTATGAAAGAAATCTAAATACACAGAATAGAAAATTAAATTTGCTGCAATGGTTGTTAAATACTTACATTCACTAATATATACATAAAAATGCCACAAAATTATTTTGTTTACATCTGGAATGTGTGCTCCACTTCATCCAATCAGCTTTTCCATCTCTTTTCACCAGTCCTGCAACTGAAGGCTTGACAGGACTGCTTTTATATGCTTAGTGCTTTTCTAAGTCAAAAATTATTTTGCAGGGTCTTTGAAGTTTCACAGCTGAGGCAGTTTGTCCACTGGTGTGTCAAATCTGAAATCTGCTGGGAAAAGGTCTGGAGCACGTGGATAAATCAGCCTATATGACTGTCTTATTGTAACATCAGCTACACCGGCAATGTCTCCAATTTCTGAAATAAAAGCCAAGGTAAGCAAATTGGCGCTTGTTTGCTAGAGTTCTAATTCTCCAAATTCACCAATACTACTTAAAACTCTGATGTAATTCCAAAATGAATTATATAATTCACAACTTAGGACTTTTACCCTGATATTTAAATTCAGACACTTTTAAGGCTGGTTTCAACTAACCCAAACTAGATAAGTTGTAGAGAAAGTGAGATAGAAGGCTTTGCTACAAAGGTCAGCAACAGTTCATGATAGCATTTACATTTATGTCCAATTCTTTCTGGACCAACCTGAAGTGTCTGAATTAACCTCTGCAATTCACAGGACAGTTTGATTTCTATCCTGAGACACACTCCAGAGCAGTGGTTCTCAACCTTTCTAATGCCACGACCCCATAATACAGTTCCCCATGTTGTGGTGACCCCCAACCACTTATACATCACCGGGTGCCAGGAGCGTGAACAAAGAAAAGGGGAAAAAAATGGCGGACAGCCTTGTTTGGCGACCCCCATGAAATGGTCGTTCGACCCCAAATGGGGTCCCGACCCACAGGTTGAGAACCACTGCTCCAGAGGCTATTACCTCGGTATACTCATCAATGAAAGCAAAAACAAAAACAAAAACAAAAAAGGTTTATTTTAACTTAATACAGGGCACAAACTCAGTCTTTGTGGCATTTTCAGCAACAATGGTTTCGTCTGCTCGGTAATTAATTTTGACAACCTACTACATTAGTCCAAAAGAAGAGCAGAGATTCAGGCACTGACTACTGGACATGGATTTCAAACAAAACAGAAGAAGCAGAGTTTGTGGCATCCGTGCCAATTCTTTCTCTTTTCAAAAGAACTACTGCCGGCATGTATAAAACTTACTTTCCTAGATAAAGACATTACCTTTCTGTGTTCTCTTTTCAGCCGAGGCTTGGGAAGCCATATAAATAGCAGCAGCTGCCACCGAGATAGGACTCCTTCCAGGAACTAAATCTAATTCCACAGCTTTACGCGCAATGTGTGTTGCGGCCATCTGGACTTGCTTAGGGAGGCCCAAGTTTGAACAAAATCTGGACATGAAATCTCCAGTAGTGATCAAATCCACACTTGTTTCTAAAGCTTTCAAGATGAGTTTGAAACACCGGCCTATTTCTTTTTTGGAAATTCTGGAAACAGCACATATTTCTAAAGAATAAAATAGTACATACGTCACAATGAATTTAGATCAATACTCCCAGCCACCCACTCCATCAATTAAAGCTTAACAGTCAGTTCTTCCATTGTTTGTTACATTGTCATGGCAAAGATATAAAATTAATCTATGTAACTAATAAAGTAATATTATTTTGAGAGCATAGCCAGGCTTAATTGCTCTAGTTACACACACACACCTATGCACGCAAACAGGGAAACACATTAGGTAGACATCAGCAGTATTTAAAAAAAATATTGAAATTTGAGAAAAGATTATGGGAGTGAAAATACTTGTCTAGTTCAAATCAACAAGTAATAATGACAGCCTTTGCCACAGTGGAGAAATGAAAGTCTTCATTTCCTTGCATCAGTCTTTCCTCATTGATTTTCATTTTGAAAAGAATAAAAACCCTCAACATGAAAAAAAATGTATTCGAGTTATCGATTACAAATTATAGATCAATATGTGGCTTTGCTTTTTTTTTTTTTAATCACTACAATCACATCTACATAGATTATTAGGGAGCAACACTAAGTCAAACTGCATATAATCTTCTGTAACCTTGAACTTTTCAAAGCTTAGAACAGGGATGTCAAACTCAATTTCACTGAGGGCCGCATCAGCATTGCGGTTGCCATGGGGGGGGGTGTGCCCAGAGTGGGTGCAGCCTACTGGGTGGGTATGGATGGCGTGGGTATGGCCTACTGGGTGAGTGTGGCCAGTTTTACATCATTCGCGTCAAGGGTGCCTGTGGGGGCCTTGGCAGGAGTGGGACAAATCTGAGGGTCTCTGGCAGAAGGGGGTAGGACCAGGGCAAGCGCCAAGGCATGTGGTGCACTGGGGCAAGTGCCAAGATGGCCACCACAAAATTGTACATTGGCTCCCTGCCAGCCTGGGCCAGGGCCAAGGCAGCGGGGGCCGTTCCCTCACTGTTTTCAGGATGGCTTCGCGGGCCACATGAAACTACTTTGCGGGCCGCATTCAGGCCCCGGGCCTTGTGTTTGACACGTCTGGCTTAGAAAAACAAATCACAAAGCACACGATACAAAAATTCATGGAAAATGTTAGTTGCTTGGAGAGATGGTCTTCCCAATAAGAGGGATGCAAGGCTTTGGTAGAACAGAGAAGTACTTTGGCGTGTTCTTACTGATTTCTTTTTTACATTTTAATGTATTTTATTAATAACCGGCCATTTTTGTGCAGTTATTCTCATCTTTGACCAATAGTCAAAACAATAAAAAAAATGGATTGATTGATTAGCATACTAAAACCTGGGAGTCTTGACAGTTCTAGTAGTCCATGGGCATGAAAGGCAATTGGGGGACTTTGGGCCAATCCCTCCCTTCCAGTCAAGCCAGTTCACAGAGTTGTCATTAGGGGGGAAATGGGAAGATGGAGCATTAGATATATACAGCTCAGTTCTTGGCTTATGATTGTAACTGGGACCAGAATTTCCATTGTTAGCAAGGAAATTGTTAAAGGAGTGGCACCCGATTTTATGACTTTGTTTCCCATGGTTGTTAAGTGAACCACTGCAGTCATTAAGTGAATCATGGGAGTTGTTAAACCAGAGGTGTCAAAACTACCGACCCGTGGGCCGGACGCGTCATCTGGAAGCTGCGCCACCCCATTGCCGGCAATGGCAAAACCGTCACGTGACGTTGCGCGACATCACGAGTTTGACATGTCTGCATTAAACTAATCCAGTTTCTCCTGATGACTTTTTTGAAAGCTGGCAAACACATGCCAGTTGCCGAATGCCCGTGTGACCACAGGAATGCTGCAATGGTCACAGTGCGAGGAACTGGTCGTAATTCGCTTTTTTCAGTGCCATTGTAACTTTGAACAAACCCTAAATGAATGGCTGAAAAAAAGTCTGCAGGACCCAATCCGGGTCGGTCACCGGGACCACAGGTTTCGTCTACCAAGCAGGAGCCCACCTTCAGGGAATTTCCCTCTAGCAAAGTGTGTGCTTTGGGCTGTTCTCACACAGCCTCTGCTAGAGAGAAATGTTCCCTGAAGATGGGCTCCGGGGAGACTCCAAAAGCTCAGAAGACGAAACCTCGGGTCTCGGTGACCGATCCAGATTGGATCCTGCAACACTGTCCTGGGACACGTATATCCACCTTCATTCATAGCTATATATCTATCTGTTATAACAGTGGTTCTCAACCTTTTTAATGCCGCGACCCCCCAACCGGTCATAAGTCAAGGACTACCCAACCGGTCGTAAGTCGAGGACTTTCCCAGCCCGGGAGCACTACGCATGCATGGTGCTGCCCCCTGCGCCGGCCGAGGCATAGCTGGCAAGGGGCAGAGACGGCGCAGGCCGACCACCGGCTGGGCCACCAGCTGGCCCAGCCCAAGGGAGGTAAGGCACCCGCCGGGCCTCACGCGCGCCAGCTACTCTCCCTGCGCCCGCCGGCCTCCCACCTCCCACCCCTGGCCCTCTTTTACTTACATTTTTAGTAGTTGCTCAGCAGGGAGGGGTGGAAACTTCCAGACAGCTCGCCTTCACTGCAGACAACTTGCAGCACCATTTGCAGAATGGGACTTTTGGCGGGCTCAGCAGGGCAGAGACAGCCTGGACAATTCCTATTGGCTTTTGAAAGCCAATAGAATTAGACTCTATTCAAGAGAGTCTTTCAAAAGCCAAAAGAATAAAAGGGAGTAGCACAGCTAAGGAAAAGGGGGAAAAAATGGTGGACTGCATTGTTTGGTGACCCCCATGAAATGGTCGTTTGATCCCAAATGGGGTCCCGACCCACAGGTTGAGAACCACTGTGTTATACTGACTTCTTAATCTAAAGGTGGAATAAAATTTTAACGAATCAATAAACGAACGTGGATAGTGTACTTTTTTTTTATGATTCCTCCAAGTCAGTTATGACTTCTGATGACTACCTGGATTCATCCCTGAACCTCTTTTGGCGAGGCTTTTCAAACATGGCTTATTGGTGTCTCCTTCCTAAAGCTAAGGGGGGAAAAAATGACTGGCCAAAGTCCCCCTTTGGCTCCATGATTAAGATGGGATTAGAACCCAAGAGTCTCCTGATTTCTAGCCTGATCCTCAACCACTACACTGAATGGGTTCTCACAGTTACCATGCAGTCAATCAAATGACGGGTCTTCACTGCCGGTTATTTGAATCATAATAATTTTTACAGCAATGGGACAGGATGTAATAATAATGCCCTATTTCTCTACACCAGCGGTCTGCAACCTTGACAACTTTAAGACTTGTGGACTTCAGCTCACAGAATTCCTCAGCCAGCTATAGCTGGCTGAGGAATTCTGTGAACTGAAGTCCACAAGTCTTAAAGTTGTCAAAGTTGCAGACCTCTGCTCTACACAATTCAGCTCCAAGATGTGATGCTTGAATATATTTATTAGATAGGGAGGTAGGGTTTTTTTTGTTTGTTTTTTGTTTTGCATACATCTTCTATGTAAAGTCTACCCCAATAATGAATTCTCATCCCTGCTTGGAACACAACCAGATAACCACAACTACTCCTTTAAGCAGTTTCTGTCATTTAAGTCCTACATTCCATAAAAATACAGATCAGAAAAGTCCTAAGTACAAAGCGTGCATCAGCTTTTTGAAAGTACAGGTAGTCCTTGACTTACAACCATTCATTTCGTGACCATTCAAAGTTACAACAACACTGAAAAAAAGCGACTTAAGACCTTTTTTTTTTCCACACTCGGGACCCCTGCAGCATCCCCGTGATCCAATTTCGGATGCTTGACAACTGGTTCACATTTATGACAACTGCAGTGTCCCGGGATTACGTGATCGCCTTTTGCAACTTTCTGACAAGCGAAGTCAATGGGGGAAGCCCAATTCACAAACGTGTTACTAACTTAACAATTGCAGGGATTCACCTAACAACTGTGGTTAAGATAAATCATAAAATGGAGCAAAACTCACTTAACTCTCCTGCTTGAGCCAATTTGGGGCCCGATTGTGATCATAAGGCGAGAACTATCTGTACGAGGTTCGCAATATTTGCACGCAGAAGAAAAAAATATATATAAAAGTTGAGGGTCCTACGTTGAAAAGCAGCGGAAGCACGCGTCATCGAACCCTCACCTTTAAATGTCCTAGGAACTCCCTCTTGTCTGCAAGCAATGTAGAGACAAGCTGATGCAATGGCATCGTTACTTCTCCCCTTCAGGCTCTTCTGCTCATACACTTGCTTAAATAAATTATTTGTTCGATCCTTCAAAGCAAGCAGACAAAATTCAATTAACTCCAGGCTGATTTAATTAGCAACTAATCTCAAAAAAAAAAAAACAGCCCATGTTCATTACTTTATGCTAAATGAGGCTGGAAAAAAAATTCAGAAGACAAAGCCATAACTCACCACTATATTGCGGGGCAGGTTGATCCTGTCAGCCATGCTAGCGATTTCCTTGAAGGCGTTCATCATTGCACGGTCAAAACTGCTCATGGTGCGACGATTTTGATACTTTGAATTCCCAAATTCATCAAAGCTGGCCGCGCCTGTCCCCTGCGGAAAAAGGGTTGAGGAACAGAGCGCATTGTTACATTCACACACAAAACACAGGTGGCACGAATATCTACTGCGAGGGGAAATTAGAAGACAGTACACCATCTAATTTAAACACCGTTTTTTTTTACTACTAGCTAACAATAACATGATTCTCAGCAAAGCACAAGTGAAACAGAAATTAGTATGTTATCTCAGCATGGACCACGGAACAGGCTTAAAATCTGGAAAGCGCATAATATAATGTTGATTTCATTCACTTTCAAAAGCTATCCTTCCACAAGCAATTAACACCTCAAATTTAGACATCAGTTGTCTATCTGGTTTTTATAAAAGGCGAAATATTAACAAGCTCCAAGTAAATACCACACTACATAGAACAAAAGGAACAGTTAAAATGGAATACAATCCCAGGGGCTTCAGACTGACGTACAACTAAATCATATATTAGTATAGTATCTAAAGCATGAAATGAATAAAACTCTGATATTAAAAAGCTAACTTCTATAAAAATCCACCAAATGCTGAATTAATTTTTTTTGCTTCATGCATTCTCTTATTAAGATGGCTTGATGTTGATTTAGAATCAGAGAGAATATAGATGAATTAAGTATTTTTAGAATGTCACTGTTTCTTACTGCATCACCAGCCATTGTCTATGTACAATTCATATTAAAAGCACATCAAAATGTAGAAATTTCAGAATGAAACTCATCTATTTTCTCTGTCTTCCTGCTGGTCGTCTGCAATAGGCAAGTATGAATTATTAGACTTCTCTAAATCTCCACAGATGGGAACTATAATCTTTGCCACCAGCCAGGTCAGCTCATAAGAAAAACAATTTGGAAAGGAGTACTTTTGGTTTAAATTATCTTATGTATGTCATTATCTCACTGAAATCAGGAAGATGAGGAACCACACACATACATGCTTTAAATACGTGCTATTTATCCATAATGTGTTGTTTCTATACTTTCTTGAAGAAAAAAATGAGCACCGGGAGGAAAAAAGCTACCCCCTTATGTTGGACAAAATTTCCTAAAACTGGACCATGCACAATCCAGAAAATAAAAAGCAAAGAATGAAAGTCGAGCTCTGGGTGGAGGAAATATTTGAAGGAGCAAATTGCCAGCACAAGAATGTTTCCTCTCCTCGTCTGATTCATATTGGCTGGGTCAACTACTAGTGTTGTAGTCCAAAACGACAGAGAGCACCAGATGGAGAAACTCAATGGCAGAGGAGAGCTATCTAAGCAGGAGCACTGAGAAAGTGACAGGCAGCCTCCAAAACAGAAGCAGGAGAATCATTTCCATCATAACCTTCCCCCTTCCGCTTCCCCCCCACCCCACCCCCAGTCTTACAGCACAGCTCATGGCTTCAGTTTCAGAAGCTACCAAAAACAATTTGAACCCAACATTTAAAGTTTTCTTTCTTATCAACAACAAGACCATTCTATTTGTCAAACTACTGCCCATTGTTGAAGAACTGCCTTAATACGGTAGTTGCTGACCATATATACTGCACAGTCTTGTAAGACTTTTATTTTTATAAAATGTTCAATGTGTATGAGAGAGACAAAATCTCTTAACTGAGTAAGACGTTTATCAGGTGTAGTGAGTATAAAATGAATCAAGTCCCCTTAATCTAGTGGTTAGAGAGTAGACTTTAAGTATTTACTTTTTCAGATTGCATTGACTCTTCTTCCTGTAAAGTAGAATTTACCCTGTGTGGCTGAATTCAGTAATTCAGTATTTTGGTTGTATACAAGGGATAAAATGTGCTGTGCACACCTGTGCAAAACATGCAGCTCCCCAGTAAGTAGGGATATTGTGATAGTAGCTGAAAAAAAACCCCTACAAATAAGACTTTTAGCCATCATTTCAAAAGACTTTCACATAAACATCAATAGTATCAACAAAAGAATGTGTCAAAGTGGAAGGGTTACTGGCACTTGAAAATGTACCAAGCTTTATAACTCAGAATACACAAAAAAGGACAAAACTTCAAACAGGTTAAATGATAAAATAGCTGCTATGTATACTTTCAGTGAAGATAAGCTAAACCATACTTCCTTTAAATTTGAAAAAAAACAATCCAACATCACAGACTTCTCAAATAATCAATGAAATGCCTAAACTTTTTGGTGTTAAGAGTTTATGGAAGAGGATTTCTTGAAAGACAGCAGAAACTCATCTAGCTGAGACTTGAAGAGCCATGGCTAAAATCTCCACATCGTGACACAGAGCAGATTAAAGTTCAATTGATACACTTATTACTGATAGAGGGTTAACCAACTTAAGCATTTGGGGAGATCAAGATATTCACAGTGGCCCAGCTGTAAACATGAAGTCAACCATGGTTGTGGAGGCCACCAAGGGATAAAAAGAATGCAGTTGGTTAAATTCTTACAGATATCTTGTTATCGGGAGGACTATGGGAGAAAAAAAAGTTTAAGGAGAAGAAAAACATTAGGAGTAATTTTCAGTTGCCACAACAATGCAAAGAGAACATTCAATAGATTTATTATTAGGTTTTTATCCCTTTTATTTTTGGTCAACTCAAGACAGCATGTTGGCTCCTTAGTGCTCTCTGAACTTGGTTGTTTTTTTGCAGACATTTCATACTAAACTAGGTAACATCATCAGTGCTAGAAAGGAGCACTGATGATGTCACCTAGTTGGGTAATGAAATATCTGCAATAAAACAACCAAACTCAGACAGCACCAAGGACCCCACAGTTCAACCCTGAGCTACAAATATTCTCTTCTAGCATGTATATCTAATGCTCCCACCTATTTTTTCCACAATAACTGTGTGAGGTGAGTTACGCTGAAAGATGAGAGACTAGCCAAAAATCATCCAACCAGCATTCACAACAATGGGAGGACTAGAATTCAGTTTTCATGTTTCTGGCTCAGCACCTTAGTCACTATACCAAACTAGCTCCAACTGCATTTGATGAAGGTCATCGCCGAAGTGTACTACTGCAATTCATATAGTGATAGGTCTGGGCAAGTTAGTTGGTCAACATGTATTACCATGTGAACTGTCACTAATAAGACTGTATATTAAGTCCATAACTCAATGGAGAGATGCAAAAGCAGAGTGGGATTTCCTTCACCTTTATGTAACTATTGTTTGATACATCCTGATCTATTTGACCTCAGAATAAACCCTTGAATACTCATGGCATCTTCCAAATTGTTCGCAATCTTCCAATGTTAATATGCCAGGCAATCTTGTCTACCTTCAATACAAAAGATCCTGATATGGATGCATCAGTAGTGAATCAGAAAGGGAGCCCAAGAGGTATTTCTTATATTACTTGAAGTTAACTATCATAGCAGCAACTCACTGACATCTACTTGAATAGAGAGGGAGAATCCTGACATCTATCCCAAATGGGGCAGTATGAAGGTACCTATTTGTAAGGGACATACCTGAAGTCATGCAAGATCATCTACCACAGTGTTTCTCAACCTTGACCATTTTAAGGCAGGTGGACTTCAACTCCCAAAATTCCACAGCCAGCATTGCTGGCTGTGGAATTCTGGGAGTTGAAGTCCACATGCCTTAAAATGGTCAAGGTTGAGAAACACTGATCTACCAAAGTAGCTGTCAATGTTATGTCTGGGCAATTGGAAAGCTTGCATAAACTTACGCTCTCGAACTGAGCCAGCCCTGTTTGCAGGACTATCATTGTGGGAGAAAAGCAGCTCTTTTGGTGCCACTGATGACTCTTCCCTTGAACTGGATGTGATAAATGGTAATGGATAAATGATAAAAACCCAAACTGGTAACCATGCTGGAATTGTACAATTATCTCTTATTTTAGTGATAGTAAATATATCATGTATATTCATATTCTAGGGCTTCTGTAAATCTTTTTATTTTAGTTAAACAGGTAGTTTGAATTGTATTTGAATAATGTTCTGGGTTTCTAATAAGGGATGTGGGTTAACTAATCTTTAGTTTCAATAATATTGAAGAAAAGAACAATCTTTAGAATGCTATCATGTGAAGACCAAGAAAGAGTCTTGGATTACTTCAACAATACCTAGTAACAGGGGGCTTGAAAATCCATCAACTGGGATTCTGGTGGCAATGGTACCCGAGATAACTGATCAGTCAAGGAGCCCCATTTTATGAAGATGAAGACTGACCTTTAGGGCAGGAAGGAAGAGATGAGGATTATTATATTTAACATTTTTTCTTCTTCTTTATCTTTTCGACTTGTTCAGGACTAGATAGGGCTGTTTTTTTTCTGGAACCCTGAGTGCTTGTCTATTAATCTCCCAGGCACTAGGAGATTTTCAAGAGGAGATACTGATTTTGAGCAGTCTTAAAAGGGAACAATGAGAGTCCTAGTACTTCTTCTGAGCTATGTTGGATGCTCTAAGGCAGGGGTTCTCAACCTTGGCAACTTTAAAACTTGTGGACTTCAACTCCCAGAATTCCTCAGCCAGCAAAGCTGGCTGAGGAATTCTGGGAGTTGAAGTCCACAAGTCTTAAAGTTGCCAAGGTTGAGAACCCCTGCTCTAAGGTGACAGAGTAAACAAGATGCAGTAAAGCTGCTATAGTCTCTGGGACAACTAGCTTCAAATACGTAAAAGTTAAAAGATCAAATACGCAGAAGTTAAAAAAAAATGCATTCAATAAAAGCCTATTCATACCTGCACTAAATACACTGAGGAAAAGAGGCCCCCAAACTCCTAATTGGCATAGAGATGCTATAAGTTTAAGTTACAATTCCAGAGACTTTCGGATCCAAGTTGCTAGTTAGTGCACAACTGACATATGAGAGTGCTCTGAACAGTTTTTTAATTAGAGGAGAAAGTAATTCTGCCTTTCAAAAATGGTAGATAGGGCATTTCAGAAGAATGGGATCCAATGCTTCCATGTCAATGTCTGAGTAAAAATCTGTGCATAAAAGGAATTCTAAGAACCAATTAATATGCAAATAGTATGGCTGTCAAGGGACAGTGAAGACTCCCATCAAAAATTTCTTAAGTTCTGGAAGGTTCTCAGTGTTTTGCACAGGTGCAGAAAATGTGTATGAGGATCACAGCAATTGTAAAAAGAATCCCAATTTTTAGAGTCTGGCTGCGTCCCTATGTACAGTTTACCGAGTTCCTTTTGAAGATCTTTAGCCCAACAGTCCTCATACCCATTGATTCACCAGGCAAAAGCATATTTACTTTATCAAGTACATATGCAGATACATTCAGTACTCCAAAAATATTACTTAATCTTAACACTCCTTAAAAGCAAAGCATTCCAGCCACTTATAATTCCTCAAATTGTTTTTGGAAAGGTAAAAACTTACAGTTTATAATTCATCTACTGATTTACAATAGTTCTTCCTCTTATGGAAACTAATCCTGGAAATTCTTGCAGTGAAAAAAGGTTATAGATGTGTAAGTTATATAAAGATGTTACTTTTGCCTCTACTTTGCAAACAAGATTTAAAAAAGGAATACTTTGAAAGTTTCACAGTGAAAAAGCATTTCTTCATATATGAAAGCATCTTAGTTTAATAGCACAGAAGGGTATCAAATTTGTACAAATTAGACCCGGATACAACAAAGAGGAAGAAGCTTATGAAAGCTAAATTTCTGATATAAGTTTCCAAAAAGATTGTAAGTAACAGAAACAAATGAACATTTTCTCTGCTTCCTACACTCTTCATACTGGGAGAAAAAGATTACCCTATATTATTTGAGAAGTAAATATATCAAGAAACTGTCAAAACAAAAGCACTTCCAGTCTTAGGACTAAGAAATTCGTGTTTAGCAGTATTTTTTGGTTCATGCAATATAATTTTGAACACTGAAACATTCACACATTGTAAGGTTAAAAATGTATATATTACTTTGCCAATCATTGTAGTCAAATCTCCATCACTAAGGAGAGGATTCTGGGTATCTCCAACTCGAGACGGGTCTTTAGTTGCTTTGTCATTGCTGAATGTTCGCCATTCTGACCCCACATCTATTACTCTGTCACCTGAATATGCAAAAAAACAACAACCCTATTATAGTTTATTCCTTTTGGAAAATTGTTTACAAACATCATACTTCTTTCCTCACTGGCATTTGTATCCCCTGAAAGCAATTAAAACAATAGCAAATTAGAAAACATGTGAGAGGCTTCAGATAAAAAGTTCCTGTGGAAAGGTCTATATAACAGTAACATTAGAATGCTTCATAAACAGTGACAGGCCCTAAAGTCAAATATATTTCAAAAATAATTCATAGTGATGGCACTGTACCCTTAGAACTGTCAAACTTTACCAGCTCAAGCATAGGCAACCAGTGAGCAGTATATGCATTCCAACCTTAGAAATATTTTTCTAAGATAAGAAATCAAATCTGCAAGCATTGCTGTTATCACAGATTCAAATTTCCCTACTATTTGTGCTTAGTACATCCCTTGGTACCTGGCTCAGTTAAGGCAAGAGAAAGAACAGTTAAGTGCATTTAGAACTGAATGCACAGATCATTAGTAGTAACTCTCATGTGAGTTATTGTCACTTCATAAACATGACATTCATAGACAAGCCTTGTTTTCAAGCATAATATGAAACAACATATTCAGCAACATAGAATCAGTACTAATTTACTTATTTACTTGTTATCAAGAGCAAACCAGAAAAATACCATAACAATAAAGTTATAATTCATTTGCCTGAGGTATGAAAACTTAGTTTATGTAGTTCTAGCACAGTGGTTCTCAACCTGTGGGTCGGGACCCCATTATGACCATTTCACGGGGGTCGCCAAACAAGGCTGTCCGCCATTTTTTCCCTTTTCTTTGGCCACGCCCCTGGCACCCGGTGATGTATAAGTGGTTGGGGGTCACCACAACATGGGGAACTGTATTATGGGGTCGCGGCATTAGAAAGGTTGAGAACCACTGTTCTAGCAGATCATAAATGGCACGTGAATTTTGTGCTCTGAACTAATACATGGAAATTGGGAAAAAATCAGTACCTTTGCTACATTATTTTCAAAAAATTCTTTTAATTTTTTTCCCCATTATTGTTCCTTTCTGTGGCAACCAAAATTCAGCCAAAACTCTGCTGTTTAAAAATGAACAGTTTTCAATTTATCCCATCAAAATGGAACTTTGTTTTAATCTATCAGTCAAAAAAGAATACTCTTTTCCCTTACGGAAGGTTTAACAGGAATTTAAGAACAATTACACCTGCATCATCAATCTTCCATCTTGTATTAAAACATTGCAGCAAAACGTGATCTTTTTTTCTTCTTCCTGCCAAGTGTATCAAGACATTCTTTGGAACATTTCTTATTCTCTCGCAAATCTTGTATTTATTCTAAATAACTTTATCAGTTTCTGCCTCTGCCTCATTCCAATTTTTTAAAAAAATTACTGAAGCTTTCATAACCTTTTCTCTAATATCTTTTACCAGAATCCTGTGGAATTGCTCAATATCTCAATTTTTTCTCTCTCTCAATGCTAGTAATGCCAAATTATCTATAGTTCTCTTTCTAGCTCTTTCCTTGACTTTCAACTGGTAGTTGCAGTTATGACCATCACAGCCTCCCCCTAGACCCAGGATCAAAATTTGGATGCTTGGCAACCAGCATGTTTTTGTGATAGTGGCAACATCCCAGGAGCATTTGTCTGCCTTCTGCAATCTTCCCAGCTGGCCTCCAATAAGCGAATTCAATAGAGGAAGCTGGATTTGCAGTGATTCACTAAGAATCGTTGCTAGAAAAAGTCAGAAAATTGGGCTGCTTTTAACTGCTTTGATTATCAACAGAAATTCTGGTCCCAATTGTGGTCATAAGTCAAGAACTAATTGTATAAGTCCCGTCTTATACTCCAGAACTTCCACCTTGTCGTTAATTTGTTTTACAAATTCAGATCTCTGTCTCCAGACACTTGCTTTACAGATCTCTCCATGAGCTCTCCTTCTTCTTAACTTCTCTGTCTGGACTTTCACCTTTACAAGTCTTTGATCCACTCTTGTTTCCAAGCTGTCAACTTCATGTTAACCGATTTAGTCTGCCCAATTCCTCAACCATTTTCTTAAGTAAATCTGATATAATTCCTCTCTGCTGATAGCTTTAGTAATCTCCTCTTTCGCCGCCACCCCACCCACCCCGCTGTTTTTTGCTGTTCTTCTGATGGTTGCCATTGTAATATTATAATCCCAAAGTGAAAATATCTCAGTTGCAAGGGAAAGAATAAAAGGCAAGCTTTCTTTTCATTTCATTTTGTCTTCCTGTGCCCTTAATACTTTTATCTCAAATGGTACCCTGCAATTAGAGTCAACCTTGCAGTCTGTTAAGGTTACCTTTATCTTTTGTTTCGTAAAATCCAACTATTGTCTACACTTTTTAATAATAACCAAAAAAAAATCTCAAGGGTCCAGATTGTGTATTTTAAATCTAATTTCAAAAAACGAATCTTTATCCATTTTAAATTATCTTACATCTAGTCCTTGTTGAACTTTTTGGCAAAAGTTTGCAAATCTTTAAATCTACTCATGACAAGCAGCTGCCTGGACTGGGCTTCCTGGTAAACATTTATGGTGGACCAGGCGCAGCATTTCACTGGAGGTCAATGGAGAGTGAATTCTAATGATGCAGCCTTTCTGGGTAAAGGAGAGATCATAAATATGTTCCTTTAGCTTAGTATTTCTAACCCAATTTTTGTTGCCTGCTTCATGCTGCTTGTCCCAAAAGAAAATTCAATAACTTATGGCTATGCATATATTAACTGACAAATTTTTATTGTCTATGAGGTCTACATTAGTTTAGCACCTGAAGATCTTTGAGAAGTTTCTGACAAAATGTATCATCAATGCTAACATTCCATTCATTAACTACACTTCTTTGTTTTAAAAGGCAATCTGTATTATGACTTGAAACTATATTAGAAATCCTGTAATTGTGCTCACCCTAAAAGCATTTAAAATGAACAAACTATAAAACGGAATTTATATATTAAAGTGGAGAATAATTTCAGTGTTTCAAATTTTCCCATTATGTGTAAAAAATATTTTATACAAAATGCGAAGGCTGATTTGTTGCTAATGAAGGCTATTCAGCTGCTGGCTTGTTATCAAGCCTGTAGAAAAAGGAAACAATCTGTAATTAGAAAAAAATCCAGATATAGTCATGATTTCATAAACTATAAATGCGCCAAAATTACTGACATTATTAAGTGGAACTATTTTCCAAATCATGACTCAGAAAAGACATCCTCTGAAAAGACAAGGCAAGAGGTTTGAAAAAGACTCAGAAATAATTGAACCCAGTGCTTTGTCCCAACCTCTGTGTTGCAGAAGACACCTACTAAGGCTACACACATAGAAAACAGGCAACAAGAACATCAAGAATTTTACCCAACTTTTATACCATGAATACAAAGTAGTAATTCCACATAGCATCTTGTCAGCCATACCAATCAGATTAATCTACAGCTATACTTAAAATCAAATTTAAAAAATGTGTTGTATTGCTAAGATAACACCATGACTGAGATATGCCTAATTTTAGAGTACTAGTAACATCTATTATAATTGTGTTACAACTTGCTCTAGCTCAGGGGTCCGCAACCCCACGGTCCATGGATCAGTACCGGGCTGTGGCATGCCAGTAACCAGTCCGCACAAACAAGCAAAGCCCCATCTGTGAGATGCAGGTAGCACCACGCCCATTCTGGTCCACAGAGAAACCTCTCTCCACAGAACAGGTCTCTGATGCCCAAAAAGTTGGGGACCTCTGCTCTAGCTGAATCACTTGAACAAAATGACAAAATAACTTCTACAAAGTTTTATTGTACAGAATTATAATGATTAAGAATGACTTCTAGAAACAGATAGAGAGAGGATGAACCATAACTGACAAAGTTGAGAACAGGGTTTGTTTGTTTTTTCCCCAGAACTACAGTAGGTCAGCCGTATTCTTTGCCCTGCATGCTAGCTTTAACTTGACAGAATGCTACCAAACATTGATCGATTAACTTCATTTATAATCTCCAGTTTACAACTGACTTTAAAATGAAATCTTTGGCTAATGATAGCACATCTATGCTTCTTTCGCATCCCCAAAGTTGGGTAATATTTTGTCTAACAAAGATTTCTGCAGAACTCAAATGCCTTTTGGGCCATTGTGAGAGTTTCTCACGATGGCATCAACCAACCCCAGAAGTAAATTTTTATTTTTTATTTGCTAGAATAGATATTTTTAAAGCATATATTAAGACAAAAAATGAGGCTAAAACATGATCGGCAAGATGCATTCCTTCCACCATCCTATCATCTTCTTGCAAGCTTATACTGGGATTCATGCTCCCTTTTTGGCTGTTAGCTTTTATGTAAATATTTAAGCATTGTTCCTTTTAAGGCCTAACAGTAACTTCACTTTGAGGCAAACTCTCATTACTGTTTACTGCGTCTAAAAAAAGCAAGATATACTTGAAATCCTGGCGCTATATAAATAGAACACCGAGCATAGCTATTATGTAATATTTTTTCCAAACACATGGGAATGACCTATATGACTCACTGGAGAGAAGTAGCTTCTTGTGAATTCGGCACCATTCCTGCTTTAATAATCAACAGTATTGTGACAACGGTAACTTTGGCCAAATAAGCAAAAGTTGGTGCATAGAAAGGACACAACTATTCAGGATAGTGTAATAAACGTGGCATATTTTATTTTTAATATTAAAGGAATTACTCATTTCAATAAGATATATAAATATTCTTCTCTTAAAAAAGGAGGTCAACTACAAAATTATATGTGAGACTATGACGGTTCTTTGTTTTCCAAGGGCTGTGCACCCAGTGTAGAAGATAATCATAAAGTGCTTTATTGTAGCACATACACGTTTCCCAGTTGTAGGCTGTTGCCCTGGATTAACTCCACCCTCTTAGGTTTTGCAAGTTGATGTAGCCAGGTAAGTAAGTCTTTGACGGATTAGTCCTTATCACAATTAAAAGTCTTAAGTTCGCAAGGTGGAATACAGCA